CGGTGCATCTTGTATCGCCTGTACGGCAATTGGATTCTTAACCTCAGCGGAATTTCTTTTTTTAGACCCTGGCACTACGTGCCTGCGTCACCTACTACCAGGCTCGGGGACTAAGTGGGCACACTTCACCTTGCGGTGAATGTGTTTGATTAAATTGACCCTTGTGTTTTGAATGGTTATGAGGATTATTAGTATGCTCGGGGACTGCCCCGACCACTGCTTGAATAATGGTTCTCCTTGGCTACATGTGATTTGTACTCACATACAGTTAAGAGACTTTTCTTTTAGACCTTGCTACAAGGCTCATACTTTGCCTTCCAGCAAGCTCGGGGACTAAGTGGGCACACTTCACCTTGCGGTGAATGTGTTTATTTTTTCACCCCTAAACCCGATGTTTAAGGATGCTATGCTTCAAGACCACTTACATTTCTTTTTTCGAAATACAAGTGGGCACACTTCTCGGGTAAATCTTTTTTCTTAAGAGCACCATACATTCTTGGACAACCAACTTCTCCGGTGATAGCGGTGGTCGGAGGCGTCAAGAATTCAAGCCTTGCTTGTCGGGAGAAGGTTAAAATGGCGTGTCGCATGACATAATACATGATGCTCGGGGACTAGGCGTGGGGGTATTAACCCCTATACCCTTTACGGCTAAGCTTGGGTTGGCCTGGATCGATAGGTTCATCCACCGAAAGATGACGTATGCCCGATTAACTGATCGAGTCCCGCACAAGGAATCAAGACGGATTTGGCGACCAAGCGAGGATCTGGTCGATTAGAATAGGAATCCTTATCCGCCACATATGGCAATTGTAACCGACTAGGATTAGTTTCAGATCGTAACCACGCCCCCGGACTATATAAGGCGAAGGCGGGGACCCCTCTAAAAATCATCTCTCATTGACATACTGACAATACAAATCGACGCAGGCGTAGGTATTACGCCTTCTTGGCGGCGAACACGGATAAAACCTCGTGTATCCATCTTTGCGTCACCGTCTTGTTTGGGACTTGCGCACCTGTCTGCCGATAATCTACTACCTTGGGCATACCCCTAGGTAGACTGCCGACCATATTTCGTCGACAGTAGGCTTTGGACAAACTTAAAGTCCCATCAAAGTACGTGATCCTCATCAAGGACATGTACAACAATGTTGTGACTAGTATTCGAACAAACGATGGTAACACAAATTACTTCCCGATTAAAATTGGACTTCATCAAAGGTCAGCCTTAAGCCCGTATCTCTTTGCCTTGGTAATGGATGAGGTTACCAGGAACATACAAGGGGATATCCCTTAGTGTATGTTGTTCGCTGATGATGTAGTGTTAGTGGACGAAAGCCAGGCGGGAGTAAATAGGAAACTAGAGTTATGACGACAGACCTAGGTTTTAGATTGAGCAGAACTAAAACCGAATACATGAAATGCGACTTTGGTGGAGCTACACAGAAGGAAGGAGATGTGAATTTGGAAGGTCAAGTAGTGCCTAAGAAGGATATATTTCGGTATCTAGGATCGATGCTATAGAGTGATGAAGATATTGATGTAGACGTTAGCCATAGAATCATAGCAGGGTGGATCAAGTGGCGACAAGCTTCTGGCATTCTCTGTGACAAGAGGGTACCACAAAAGCTTAAAAACAAGTTTTATAGAACAACGATTAGACCGGCTATATTGTATGGAGCAGAATATTAGCCTACAAAGATTTGACATGTTCAACAACTGAGTGTTGTTGAAATACGTATATTGCGATGAATTTGTGGTCACACAAGAATGGACCGAGTTCGGAACGATGATATACGTGATCGCCTAGGGGTACCATCAATTGAAGAAAAGCTTATCCAACATCGGTTGAGGTGGTTTGACCATATCCAAATGAGACTTCCTAACTTAACAACAAAGTTCTACCACACATTTATATGTTGCTCATTAGCATCTACTCGCTCCGTCCCAAAAAGAGTGTCACTTTTTATTTTCAGACATCTTGTTTGACTATCCGTCTTATTCAAATATTTTGTATAAATATCATCTATTTTGTTATGACTTATTTTATCATTAAAGATACTTTAATAATAATTTATTTATTTTATAATTTACACAAAATTTTTGAATAAGACAGAATGGTCAAACACGATATCTGAAAGTCAAAAACGTCACGGAGGGAGTATATTCTATTTGACTGAGTTACAGTTCTTAAAGCACAAAGGATAGTGTATGATTTCTTAACTAAAGTCATCAAGTAGTTCCTCGTGCATGTTGGGGGCGATGGACGCTTATTTAAATTTGAATACATAGCCATGGAATGAAAGCTCAGTGTAACTTCTAGAGTGGTTAGTTTCATTTAGTTCAACATTATCAGATCTAGTCTTTGGGAAGTCCAAACAGTTACTACAATACACAACGGCCGCCAACTGATGATTACAAGAGAGTGAAGAGAGTAAATACTCACATAATGTACAAATAGTGATTGGCCCATAAATAAGAGTACAAAATAATGCAAATAAGCAGGGTAGCAGGTATCAGTAAAATATCAATGCTAACTGTATACTTCTGCTTCTGGTTTTATTCTTTCCAATAGCTTTTCAGCCTCGATAAACCCCCCTAAAGGTCCCAGAGGGGTATATTTCACTTGCCTCCAACTGTCATATGAAGTGGCGCAAATGATTTTAGATGGCAATTAAAGCTCTGATTCAAAGTATCAGTCTTACTTTACCTGGGCATAAATGGCAGTGCCAGGCAATGAAGATGAAGGTGATCGACACTATTAAATGGGGGCTGATGGAACCCAAACCTACAATGCAGGCTACATATGTAAGAGAAATGACAGTAAGAATGTTGGAACAAGTATCTTGACTCTTGAGATATACTCCCCTGTTCCATATGGGCTTTTGAAATACCTGTGTTCCTCAGAATTGGGAGCATCTTGATTGAGCAAGTCTTTCCCCACCTTCACCATATGGCTGACTGAAAGACAACAATAGAAGAAATGCAACAGCTCACTCTTCAACTCTGGCTTCCACTACGATGCATAGTGAAATGCAACATCAAGCCAGGTTCATATGATGAAAGAAGCCAGAGAGTACCCACCTAACTGGTGATCATCTTTGGTTTTGTGGAGGCTATTTACAGTTGGTATATGATCAATGGGTATGACAAGATAGTGCCTACAAACCGCACAGCATAATACATCACAAAACAAATATTCAGGCAAATAAATTGGGCATTTACAACGGTAGAAGTACAAGCTCTCAGAAAAATAATATAACAACGAAGGCTTATAGTCCCAAGCAAGTTGAGGTAGGCTGGAGATGAAGCTGAACAAGAACAAAAAAAAAGAGGATGAACAAAGCAGAATGAGGTACTAAAAGTAGTAATAATGAATCAATAATTTCTTCTGGCTGTGAATAGGAGAACCGAGCTCATGTTTAGCCCTATGAGTAAATCATGTGAAAATTCGCTCTAGCATGTCTAACGCTTATCAAACACAAAGCCAGCAAGAACCACAAGAAGACTTCAATGTATCATGCTGTTTGCATCACCATCATGGCATCGTGTACTTCTCACAAATTATTATGTTTCAATTGTAAACCAACTATGTCATTGCTACATGAAACTAGAACACTCAATTATAAAGATATACAGTATGTTGTCCTAGATACGTACTACATGAAACTAGAACACCCAATGACCCAATCATAAGATATATAGTATGTTGTCCCAGATACATAGTAAAATTTATGATACTTTCTTGTGCAAATGTTCCTTTCCTGACAACTTATTGCAAGGAAGTGTGAATGTGTGATGCTTCTGCTCATATGAATGCAGAAGTTCATATAGATGAACATGAGCCTGCGTATAGCACCTCAACACTACTACTAAGTAACAATTAAGGTGAGACTGGTATAGATGGTCAGAAAAAATGCCAGCTGATGTGTCTGTGAAAGTGAACGAAAACAATGGAGACATAATGTATAACAAAGGTAAAGTTCTGAGGTTAACCATGAATAGCTTCACTGCTTCAGGATCACATAGATACTTAGACGTTAGAAGAAATGACAAGCTTGGAAGGGCTTAAGGCAATGAATTAAGTGAACGATTACAGACACACGGAGAACGTAGCAGCCTAGCACACAGAAAAATAAGGTCCAATCGAATACTTCCACCATTCCCTACAACAACAACAAAAAAAAAACGCATTGCTTGCAATGCTCGCCAGGTGTTCGACGAAATGAACCTACGCCTTACTTCATCCGACTGACTCGTAACACGACATCTAGACCTATCCAAGCAACAGAGAGCTATACAAACGAACAACAACTCCTAGCAAGTACCTGAACGCCGACGGGTTGATGTCGCGGAACGCCACGACCTTGTCATCCTGCGCACAGGGAGGGGAAAAAAAAGGGGGATTTACATTTTCTGCAGCGAAAGAAGCACTAGATCGGAGGTGGTACATGGGGACAGCGGTACGGAACGGAGTAGAGGAGAGCGGTAGTGGAGGTGGGGGCGCGGCGGGCGATGTCGCAGAACACGCACCCGTCGACCATCGGCGCCCGCTCCGACATCCTCCTGGCCAAGCGGCTGCCCCCGAAGCAGAAGGTCTTCCTCATGGTGCAGCCCCCCGCGGGTTGGTTCGGGATTAGGAGCAGGTGGGAGTGGGACTCCGCCCGACGCGGGGTGGACTTGACCGGTTCAACAGCGACGCTCCCGGACGCGGCGGCCGGCTCGGGGTCCGGGATGCCGCCGCCGTGTCGGTCGTCGGAGTCGAAGGCTAGTTTAGGGCTTTAGGCTTCGCCGCGTGTGTGATTCCGTGGCCCAGGACCTGCAGCCGGTTCGGCAGTTAGATATGGGCGTCCGTAGGCCCACTTAATGGTACTGGGCTGGGCTCAATGAGCAGCCTCTTGAGGCCCTCTGAGGCTCTGACAACAGTAAGTATGCGTTGATTTTCCTTCTCATTTTGTGGTACTAGTTTAATATAATGTATTGGTCAACCGCATAAACATAAACTGTATATAACTGTTGAATGTTGATGAATATATACGGAGTAAATGCTAAGGATGGAGTGAGGAATCTTCCCAGCATTACGTAGGATGTACTAGCAAATTTCATTTTCACTTGTATCTAAGGAGGATTGAACGGGACTGTACCACTTGACACGCAACGAAACTTAACAAGGTACGGTTCCATAGCGCGGGAGTTTCAGCAACCGTGAGCCCCCACGCGTTGTCAAGAACTTGACGAGACCGGCAGGTTTGAACGTCCGGCGTGGAATGTGAGGAGGTCTGTACTACACGGCTCCTTGTCGGCCCATACTTATGCATATTGGAAATGCCGACGTCATATATATATATATATATATATATATATATATATATATATATAACTACTATTCTGTAGCAGGCTACAAAATGTATACACACACACACCCCAAAGATGTGCACGCCAGAAACGGCGGATTAGTACCTCCTTACCTCGTTGCTTGGCTTCGGATCACCTTTCGTGTGATGGTTGCCCACGCAGGACGATCAAGGTTTTATCTCACTTTTCTATATATTGTCCAGTGCCTATCCTTGAACTTTTGGGAGTTGGGACATGTGACATGCATGTCCACGACCTTGTTGACTTTCCGCCTCGTGCAACTCGATCATAACCTGCAGACTTGACCAAGGTTGCAGACGTCCACGCGTCGCCATGGGCGGCGGTTGATTGGAGGTGGTATTCACAGAGACCACGGTTCCTTCTTGAGCTTAGCTTGTTCGTGCATGGCCACGTAGATTTCTTGCGCACGCCATGTTGCACATGTTTGGAGCACCAAAATGTTTGAATTCTTGGGATCATGTATAAAATAGAGTACATTTGTGCAGACAATTCAGATGACCATGGCGAGTACGTACAGTACCGTTTAATCTTAGAAGAAAGCTCCTCGTCGAGCACAAATACACAAGTTAAACTTGTTTACGTACTCCATAACATTTGTCATCGGCGCACGATCCTTCGTCGGTTGATCTAAAAATCCACCGGCCACATATATAATCACAGCGTTTTGTCAACACAATCGTCGTCGTCCCTTTCGCGGAACAGTGCCGCCTGGTTCGCACGGATCCATCGAGGCAAACAGCGTAATCGGCCGGGCGCGCGCGCGGCTTTCAGAAAGTTCGGTGGCCACCGCCCACCCGGCCGACGAGACTACCGCCCACCGGCAGGGTGGTCGCGTCGCCGAACGCGGATCGGAGGAGACCGCGGTGTTGAAAATGTTGGGTCGTTGCTGTACTCGACTGCACATCATCCTATCCATCCATCAGCCCGTCACCCCACCAGGGCCCGTTTGGATGGTACGATTCTGAAGGAATTTGGATGGTTTGGAGGAATTCTGAAGGAATTTATGAGAGAAAAACACTGTTTCGGATAAAAAAAAGAAACGGATTAAGATGGATTTAAGGACACGCGAACGGGACCCATGTCCCTGTCGACGTATTAAAGTTCCTGTTCGTTTCGAGCGCTTGGCCGGGAAGCTCTCCACGTAGCAAGAAATACACTTGGCCATACCAAATTAATTGGTTCTCCAGCTAGACTGATCCAGTCGTGGTCGCGGCTTGATCGATCGATCACGTACGCTAGCTCGATGATCCAGACTCTCGGTCGACCGGCCGGCTGATCTTTTTTTTAATGATCTGGTTAGCCTTCTAAGCTTCTTCATTTCAATCTCCAGCGCTGACGAAGAACTCTAACAAATGAACACTAGCAGAATTGTCGCTCCATCCCACGACACGACGACCGCACGGCTGAATGTCTGCAAGCTTCTACGCCAGCTCTTACGTACACAAGCAAGTGTCCGACGTTTAAATTATCAGCAAATTATATGCAGTAGCCATTAGCTAAGCACAACTGCACAAGCATGCACAATTGTATACGTACGTATATAGCCCGGCCTAAAAAGTCGTAAACGGGTCTAGAGCACGTTCTCGAGTTGCTTGATCTGCACCGATTAGCCAAACGGGCACATAAACGACGTCTCTTTTATTTTATTTTATTTTCTTTTCTTTTGCTTTGGAGTGGAGCACAAACTCGACGAGATGGTAGTATGTAGGAAGCACGATGTATGCGCGCTTGCCAGCTGAGGGACACAACTGGTAATACTGATTTTAAAAAAATATATATATCGGGCCTGGACACTCTCTAAGAAATATATTTATAATACAATATATATACTACGGAAAGAAACCTTCAGCAGAAGACACTCCAATTGTCTTCAGAAAATAATGGACCATTTTTTAGTCAAATAACGGAGCTAGCAATCGATCGTTTTCAATGGTTTGTCACGCGCAGCTTGCTATTTAATTGTGTAAATATAGTCATCGTGCGCAACATGTGGAGCTATACACAGATCAACAAATGAAATAGAGAGCACATGGTAAGCGGTAGCTATCAGAAAAGAGTTTTCCCCATATACGCTTAGCTAAAAATTCAGAGTTGCTAGTCGTCCATCTAATTAATTAGATTGATATACCTCATAGTTTCTCCTGCATGATAGCTATATCTTTGCCTTAGCTACCTGAGGGTACGGTGGTGCGCATGATTATTTGCGTGTGCAACGTTGTGACCATGAGCTAAATAGAAATTCTAATTTACCCATTGAAATTTTGTCCTACATGGTTAAGTTTTGTAAGATGAAAGTTAAATTCTCAAACTTGAATTTCTATGTGTCTATTGAAGTAAAGAACAACTTAGACCTCGTTTGGTGCGGCTCTGGCACCGGAGCGGGCATAGCCCCACCAAACGAGGACATACGGAGGAGCACTTCTTCGCTGGGATGTGCGGAGCTCGAGCCATTTTGGCGCCCGGACCGGAGCGCAAAAAATTGGCTCCACCCAAGTGCTGCCAAACGTGCCCATCGTTCAGCAATGGTGTACATTTTTGTTGGGCGCCGGGGGGGGGGGGTTGGGTACTAAATATTTTAAAACTAGTGTAGACCCCTGGTTGAAAGTTTACATATAAGTTGTGTGGGGAATTATGTGGCAGAACCGTCCAAAATAACACGTTTTCGGAGGCGCTCGTCTTCCACCAGACACTAAGCACCCCAAAAATTGGCTACATCGGATGGTTCCGTCGAGCACACCCCAAGAGAGAACTCAAACAATCCATGTTTTTCATTCAGGATCTAATAATGAAAACGAGTTTACAATACTTAGTCCATTTCATACAACAAGAGTTCTCAAAAATACATTATTATAATACCAAGTTAAGATTGCGGAATTTAAACAGCGGAATTGAAATAAACATCTAACGATAAGATACGAGGATCCGTCTGTGCCCACCAGAAGAATCCTCCACACAACAACCACTCCTCAAGATGCACCTACAACAGGGGTAAATAAACCCTGAGTACACAGTGTACTCGTAAGACTTACCCGATTAGTGAGAATAATTTCCCGACTCCAAAGGATATGATAAGCTTTAGGGTTTGCTGGGTTTCATTTTTGCGAAAGACATTACCAGTAGTGAATCATTATGTATATGTTTTATTAGCAGTCATGATTAGTTCATTAGCTAATCATTGTATGTAAGCACATGTTCTACTTTCAAGCAAGAGTTGAGCAATCAGATCCATTCATACTGTTTCATCTTTCAGTTCTTACTACGGTGCTAGACTATAGCCAAGTCGTACCGTATCACACGGTGATTCGCGAACCAATGTATCCCAGCTAGGTACCCCAAAACACACGCTCCACTTGTACCCCAGACACAAGCAAGACCAACCCACCACTCTCCTGTCAAGGGGTCCAGGTCTCTGTTCAAACTTGGACTCCAAGCCCCCACTCCTGAGTCCTGGACTCAGTGTGGTGCTCAGACCTCCACCATCCCCGTCTTCAATCAGTCGGTCCGAAAAGAGTCAGAACCCACGACAAGAGAGCAACGAGTCTTCCCGCTCCCATAAGTAAGTATGTGCTCAGGATAATAAGTATGTGACCTGACTACCATCCACAGCAACGGACGACCCTTAACCAAGACGGATAGGGGAAACGATGTAACCAAGCTATGCCCCGTTGGCCGCGGGACACAACCTATTACACCCAGCAATACCCGTACCATATCCCTGCCTGGTCTCCATTTTCTTTCATCATTTTATCTTGAGAGTAATAATAATAATCACCTATTGTGAGTAACGACAGGTTACTCACGCTACCGATAGCCTAAGCACAGCAACTTCTTAACCTATGCTAGTAGGACTCATAGGTAGATTTATCTATACATGTAGTTTCAATGTAAATTCTGTAACGTAAATGCACATCATATATATATATATATTCAGTGATTATTCAAAATAAGGGTTATACACCGGAGCTTGCCTTGGGCAGGCGGATTGTCAGCTATGTCAGTCGTCGGTGGCTGTGGGGCTTCCTCCTGTACGAGAACCTCCTCCTCGTACTCCTCGACCACCTCCTCGTACTCCTGCTCTCCAGCGGTCACGAACTCCACCAACTCGTTCTCTACATGCATGCAATGATGATGCAACATTTAATATTTTGGCAACAGTAACTCTTAAAATAAGAATACACATGCTAAGCTACTAAGCTAGCTCTAATGGCTAAGATACTAAGCTAATCATTATCTCTACCGAATAGATTTCAAGCTCACCCTACGAGTGCTTAACTTTTATAAATCAATATCATGCCATTATTTCTTTAGCCTTAATGGGCACCAGTAGAGAAACGACATTTGATCCCGTCTCGAAATTTGGCTTTAGTCCCGGTATTTTTCGCGCCCGAGACTAGAGAGACCTTTAGTCC